AGTAGGGAGGAGGGAATATATTCTCTCTCTTCCTGTAATTTGAAATTTAAAGGAATTCCTTATTATTGTATACACTTTAAGCAGGAAAATGTCTCTTTAATGTAGTTTGGCTACACAGAGCTTGTGTACTTCTGAAGCGACTTAATGAAGATGAGTTGTAAATAAACTCATTGCAACATATCTCCAACAGAAAGTCTAAACAGAAGGCAGGGTCAATTTATACTAGTTAGATCAGTGGTTCTCAGAATCAAGGCACCCCTCCATAACTTTTGTGACCTGACCAGCACCCCATTTCAAAAACTAATTAATTACAGCACTTACTTAATTGCAGAGGGGCCATACAAGGAAAGCCTGAGTCCACCTTTATGGCTAGGGACAGACATTACACATAAACTGGTTTAAGTGATCAGAAACTGGTTTAAACCTCTAACAGAATAGATGTTCAGTGCATATAAATTAGTTTGAAAATGGCTGAAACTGATTTGAGATAATCCTGGTTGAATGCAGTATCAGACTTAATGTATTTGGGTCAAACTGGTTTATGCAATGTCTGCCCCAGACCCCTTCCTGGTTTACATTAAATAAGAGTCCCCTAGCATCCCAGCATGCTCTCTGGGCTGGGTGGGGCTCTCTGCTCCAGAGATCTGGGCTGGCCCCTACCCTCTGCTCCCTGGCAGTAACTCTGGCAGAGACTGCAGGTACAGCAGGGTCTTTCTGGCTTCCTCCCGCTCCCCCCCCACCTCACCCTCACCACTCACTGCTGAAGTAGGGTTTCCCCCCTTCTGTTTTCCTTATACAGGCACCTCTCAGCATTAGCTAGCATACCACATGCTGGCTATGGTCCATGCTGTGGGAGACAGGACAAAGGCAGACAGGACAGCATTGGCTTTGGGCTTTTTGGAACTAATCAACAGTTAGCTGGTAATTTCCCTCCATCCCTTCCTTGGAAAAAGTTGTTTAAGAAGACTTTGAACTAATGAGAGAGACTTTTTTTTTTTAAATGGGTGGATAAACACTGAGTTAGGGGTGATGAACACTGTGTTACCAACTCCCTGCTGGGATGTTGTGGGGGGTGTGGGGGAACCCCTCCCAAATCAGAATGTTTTGCTGGGGCCTGACCATGTCACCCCTCCACTCAGCATTGTGGAAGGGAAGGGAGGGCTTCTCTAAAACCCCCCACTTCTAGCCCGAGTCACCGCAGGCATGTGCCTGCATTTCTGGAATGAAAAGGGAATGTCTCTCCAAATTTCTCTCTCCAGATTTGTCTCTCCAAAACCTCCAAATTTGGTTCAAGCTTTGCAGGTTAGACTAACCTACAAAGATTGAATCAATTCAGGCTCAGGCTTTTTGAATTTCTGTCCATAGCCTATATCTTCTCACACTTCCTGTGTACCTTTCAAAGGATCTCATGGTACCCCAGAGTGTTCCAGACCTTGGTTGAGAAGCAGTGTTCTAGATTAACTAAACCAGAGATGTAGAGTATAAGCTTTTGTAAACATAGGGCTTATTCATCAGATGCTGAAGTTATATACTAACTTCCCTAAATCTTGGTAAAAAAAAAAAGATGCATCGCTGGCTAGCTTTAGGACATTTGGGACAACAGGAATTATTACTTCTGAAGTGAAAGGCATGTCTCCATTCTACATAGCTGGTTTGCAGGTTTTGCTTCCTGATAGTCATACTGAGCTTTCTCATTATCCTTTTATTCACAGGGTAACTTTCTCTGATTAAACCTTTGAAAACATATCTTTTCTTCATTCCAAAGAACTTGAATTCCTTATTAATTCTCAGTTCCTATTAGATCTCATCCCCTGGTGTTATTTCAAGCTAGAAAATGTTTTCAGGATGAGAAGACGAAGGTTACAAAGAATTTCTTTGACTGAAACAGGAATTAGGCACATGATTAAAGTAAAACAAGTACTTAAGTATTTTGCTGAATTGGGGCCTTTGTGAATTTGTCTTCACACTGAAGAACTTCCTGCAGGAAATCTGGTATCTGCATTATTATCTAGCCTGTCAAGCTAAACACATTAGACCCAGGAAAGAGCGTAACAGCAAGCAAAAAGACTCTAGGCTAAGAGCAGCTAAGCAATGGACTATTTATAATGAACTCCCTGGTCGGGTCCAGACGAGTGCGGATGTGTGGTATGTGGCAACACAGAGCCGTCTGCAGCACCACATACTGCACATACAGACATTCCCCACGCTTCTACCTTACAGCACGGTGGGGGAAGAGGGAGGAGGGGGTTGATCCCAGGAGATCTAGTGGTCAAACAAAAATAAGTGGGGTGGCACAAATGGCAGCAGCTCCAGAGCCCTGCTCCGGCTGCTGGCCAGGTTCCCAGCTGCAGAAACACCATAGCTGCACCTCTCCGAGGCCCCCAGGACCCCAGATAAGGCTGCTGGGGCCAACATAGTTTCTGACCCCAGACTTCCCTACCCAACCAGAACTAGCTTGCCGTGCACCAGAGAATGTGTAGCATGGGCATTCTCCGGGGCCAAGTAGCAATGGCACAGGGTGTGCCGCTGCTACTTGTCCCTGGGGAAAAAAAGACAGCCATAGCCTGTCTGTCAGAGGCAGGAGGACTAACTTGGAAGAGTCAAAGTATTCTCAGTGGAAGGTAAGCACATGTGGGGAAGAAGGCAACTGGTTACTGTCATTTGTGACAAACAGCTAACATAACTTTGAAATAAAATACAGCTCATCTACCTCCATAAACTACATATGGTTTATGTATTGTAGGACAGAACACTGAGATATCAGAGAGGTAAAGGTTGGAGATAAACATAGCTTCCAGTTCTAAAGTTTTCTTGTTTCTCTTCTCTCATGCCCAAAATAAAACAGAGGCCTTTAACAAGAAGAAGAAAAAATATCTCTCTGAGGTCTAGGAAGCTGCAAGTGACATAGTATTTTTACATATATTTTTAGAGCAGGGATTTAGGTGTAGAGCTTCCAATTAGCTTAATGGTAGTCAGCTGGTTAGATCCCAGTGCATGATGCTGAAATTTTACCTCATATGTATAAAGTAGTAACGCAGTAATTTACTGTTAACCCCTATCTACTAGCTGAGCGCTAAGAAGGATATTTTGGAAAAAGAAAATATATTCTGTTTACAATATCAACTCTATCAGAATAATGAATTTGCTTAATGTAAAATGAACAAACAAAAGCAATGAGTAACATGAATCTCCCTGCTACCTCCAAATGTGCACACCTTTCTTCTTTTTTTCAAAATAAAAGTAAATTGCATACTTTCCAAACTGGACTATACTTAAATTTAGGCATCATGCAGTGAAAGATATCACTTCAGATAAATTTTTCAGTAATTCCAAATAATCCCTGAAATTGATACCTCAGGTTAAAGTATTTCTGCCAGTTCTTGTCCAAGGAACAGAGAGCAGGTTATAATCTCCAACAGCAGATGAAAACTCACCTTATTACAAAGTCATGGTTGTCAATCTCTTTTCCACATCCACTATCCAGGAGGATGCCAGAATTTCCAACAACTGCACATGTTTTAAATCGGCGGTTCTTCATTGGTGAGACTTCAGGGAGGAGCCTGTGCAAATCCTGAGAAATGTTTAGAGTGCGACGTCTGTCTAGCACATAGTGGATTACATCTCCTGGCTTGAAGCTGCTTTTGACTACCGAGACATCTCTCTCAGCATCTAAGAATCTAAGAATATTCTTCCTGTGGTGAAAAAAAAAAAAATCAGACATAGTTTTCATTACTTACAATAGGTTCATCTGTTAGTAAAATGGTAGTATATAGAAGTGTGAGGGTTCAGATTTTTCCAGAGGCTGTTTCCGCTATAACAGCTATAAAGCTGGTTTTTAGGACTTTATTATAGAGCTTTGTGGGCTTGATTAAAAAAAATTAAATGCAACATGTTCCCTAAAAGCACCTAATCCCTCTATATTTCTGAAAGGATGAAATGACCATGGAATTAAGATTTAAAATTACATGGCGCATAATTTTTTGAGTAATATAAACCTGTTTGTTATATTGGTTAGTGCATAGATTTTGAAACAGACCATTGCATTACATTTGATTAACAACCTGTTGTTAAAAAGATTTACAAGATAAAGATATATTATGTTCACATATGGATGATGTGACCTTCTATATCAAAAATCAAGGGATGAACTAGTTTGATCCTCACAACTTTGATTGATTTCTCCAGGCTAATAGTTGGATAATTGTTTTTCCCCCCAATCTATAAATTGAGCCTATTGATATGGAAATAATTAGGAGGTAAATATGGTTTACCATGGTACCATAAACATCCTTTATCATGGTGGAACAGAACTTTAAAAGATTTGCAGATTTTCTCTTATCATCACACCTTTTAGTTTTAAACATCATCTTTCTATCATTACAGTTCACTGTATTTGCATATGTACATCTAACTGGTCAGCAAGGAACTCCCACTCCACTCTGTGTATATAAGCACCTGAGTCACAGCTGCAGGCAGGTGTCTCTGTCCATTTGGGTTTCAGAGCCTAAAACTCACTCATGAAGGCAGGCATTCACAACTCTGCTTTGAAAGAACAGAGCAGGACATTGCAGAAGTGGTAGTATCAGAATTCACCCTTTATAGTATAGCTTCATGGTTAGAGCACTTGCTCAAGAAGTTACCCTGCTCAGGCTGAGAGGGTCCGGACCCCAAATCCCCATCTTCAAAGATGTGCCCTAGCCACCATTCTAGAGGTATCGGTGAGTGGGAGGCACTCTCACTTCTTGTGGAACCTGCTCATTAGGCAGAAGAGGATAAATGATTCATGGGGTCCAGAAAACAGAGCACAAGATGTAACTTAGGCTTTACTGATTTAACTAGAGTTGCTTAAAACTAGACCTCAAGTTTAACTGTTATAGATTAGTTCACATTCAAAAGTCATAGTCAAATAGGTATAAGCCCTCCTGTAGACATTCTCAAGCTAATTAAATATAAGATTTAGGCTCCTCTAAGAGGATGCAAACAAACATCCACGGTCCCAGCTCAGGCTTAGGCAGCTCAGTTTAAAGTTTCCTAAACTTGAGTCAGGATCATTCACAGCTTGTGAAGAAGAGCTTCATGAGCAGTCAGAAGCAAGTAAATTGGTTTGGGGGGAAAGGGCTAGTGGCAGGAGGGAAGAAGAGGTGGAATTAGGGGGACTAGAGATTCCAGAGGAAGGAGTTGTCTAGTCTAGGGGTGGAGAAAACAGCCCAGTCAGGGTCAGGAGGTTAAAACAGCACTACTTCAGGGCTGTGGAAAGTGGATACAGCTGGAGCAGACAGCTTGGGCCAAGGCTGACCCATCCATCCTGCAAGGGGTGGGTTGTGAGGGAGATGCAAAGCATCCTGGGATGCTGGGGAACTGTGAGTTAACTGGAATCTGGAAGGGATCTGGAACAGAATTTCAATAAACTGATTTAACCTAAATCAGTTAAGTCTGATATTACATCCAGTCAGGTTTATCTTAAACCAGTTTCGGCCATTTTGGAAGCAGTTTATGTGCGCAGAACTTCTATTGTGTTACAGACCTGAACCGGTTTCCAATCACTTCTACCGATTTATGTGTAATTTCTGCCCCTAGCCTTAAGTATTTAGATCACCCTGAGCTCATTTAGGTCCATCTAACTGTAACACTTGTACACACCCAGAGTGTTTACACTCACAGTTCATTGTATCAGTTTAAAATCAAGCTTTTCATTTAATTACACCTTTAATCTTATCTTTAATTATTGCAACTGTGTATGTAGACTGGTAAAGAATTCTCCAGATAATGCAAAGTTGGGAAACAATCAAGTCCATTCTTTCTTAGAATGCATTTTTGCCAACATTACCAGCAACTAAACTCAAATCAGCAAAGCATTTAAGCTCATTCTTATATACATCTGTACTCTACAAAGTACTTAGGATTGTTAATGGGACTAGAGTACATATCTAAAGCTAAGCACATGCATAAGTGATTTGCTGAATAGAGATGGAGTGTTGAACTGGGATGATGGCACTTACAAATGTTTTCAATGTTGTTATTAAGGTCAATTGATAGAACTGAATATGTAACAAACATTTGGTTGAGTAAGATTGGGCTGCTTTTATAGTCACTTTTTAGAATAGAACTTCCTTAGAACAAAACAAACCAATACTTATCAGAAAAGAAAGATAACTGTCCTGCCATTCTAACTGTTGTAGTACCTGCTGAGAGACAAAAAGGGGAAAATAATTCCCCAAAGGTGAAAAGAGAAAAGAACATAGCAACAACATGTTGACCATCCAGTTACTTTGTGTCAGTGCCTCAAGATTAAGAGAATGCCAGATGCTTGCAACTTGTTATAAAGCAATGGAAATGTTGGAATTCACCTTAAAAGCCTAAGGGGAAGTGAAACATGATGAGAATTATTTGTTTATGTTGTGTCTCACATTGTAAACCTAACTAAAAGAAAAAGGAGAAGTAGAACATTTAAAGTTCTATTTTACAGCTCCAGTGTATGGATGAGGCATAATCGGAGCAAAGGCATCTCATGATGTAGCATGCATGAGGGACTGAGAATAATGAAGCAGAATGGAAGATATTAAAACCATAAGTGCCTAAAGCTTTTGGTAAATGGTGTAAAAGGCCAGGCAAGGTATTTTTGTAAAGCAAGATAAAGCCTGTAAGTTTAATGGACTTAAAAGCCCTGTGGGTTTGATAAGCTTACTTTTGTAGGCACCATGTAGCAGATATATAAATGGTTAGAAAATGAAAAAGAATGAAAGAGAAAAGGGTATCTGATCAGCTTGTATTAAAAGGTGGTAAAATTATACATAACATAAGAACAGAGACATCAGGCGTGAGCTTTGTAAAGGATGTGGCTACTAAAGCAAGTGATCAACAGCCACAAGAGCACCAAAGGGAATCCTATCTATCCCCTGAAGCTGTAACAGGGCTGGCCACAACAGAGACCCACAAAGGTTAAGTCAGAAGTTTACTGGGAATCTAGAATTGTGAGTGAAATATGAATAAAGAAGGGAAAGACCAATTAAATATGTAAAATACCATTTCCATTATCTAGGATGCCTACACCTATAATTATGTGTGTTAGCAAGCATGCAGTAACATTTGGTCTTGACTACTATTTCCTGCATTAAAATATTAAAACATAAAAGGGACATGGTGAAGGTGCCCAAGCGGTATGTAACTTTACATTTTATCTCAGCAAAAGCAAAATAGAGAGTACAAGACAGAAAGGACCATGGCTGGAGTTGAGACCTAAAGTTATTAATTTAAACAAGGGCAACTTATAGACTAAGTGTACTAGCTATCTAATGATCTTTTAGATGTGTGAAGGTCTTGATATCCATGCCTCTCAGTGGAAGTCTTTCCACTAAATTGAGCACCCTCTCAATTATCTGGGCTGAGATTTTTCAAAGACACCTAAAAGATTTGGAGAGACAACTTCTAAATAAAGATAAGTCAAAGATGAGCAAAACTAATGAGAATAGGGAGTCCAAATCCCTTAAGCAAATTTGAAAATATTCTTCCATATGCTTAGAGGGAGGTTGTCTTCTAAATTACACAAGCATATTGTCATGTAAGTTGACAAAGTCAATGGTAAATGTGCAGGCTAGCACTATATCACATGTAATCCATGTGCTAACATTTGAAACTGGTATTAGACTTAGCATTAGTGTTTATGTGATTTCATTACATCAGAATGATCCCTTTAATACTAAAAGAAATGAGGCATAGTTAGCTCTGTTAGTCTGCAGCCAGATAGAAGGGGGGGCAAGTAGCACTCTAGTAACTAACTGATACAGAAAGGCATAAGCTTTCCTAGGCAACATCCTAATTTGTCAGATGCTAGGCAGATAGTTGCTAGGGCTGTGCAAATCTTTGGTCACCGATTCGATTCGGCGATTCGCCCGATTCAGCAGCTGAATATCTGAATCTGAATCAAATCAGGAGACCCTTTAATCTCTCCGAATTAAATCGGAACCCTTCAAGTTGATTCAGAGAGATTTGATGATTCAGACATAGACACAGCTTTAAATGTTTTTTCTACATACCTCAAGGTACCAGGCGACTCGTGAATGCTAAGATGCTAGGGTAGATGGAGTGTCCCATGGGAGTGCGGGAGCGGTTCCCCACCATGCTCGATGGCAGACCTGGAAGTGGATCTGAAGCACTTGCACTCCACTTCTGGGTCTGCCTCAGAGTGCATGGGGTAACCCCCCCATGGATCAAGCCACAACCAGGTAGAGGAGCATAGGGCCTCAGGGCTTGATCCTGACATGGAGGGGAGGGGTGCAGGGCCCAATGCAGCCCACACACTGGTCCTGTTCAATTCATTTGGCCCAAGGACCAAAACTGTGAGCATCATTGCTCTAAAATAGTGTCTACTCAAGTGAAAGATTCTTCATAAAAATGGAGCTATTTAATGTGTCAGAAACAGCTATACTGACTACATCCTCATATTTCATGTACTTGAGGGCCGATTCATATCTCTAGCATGGCTAGTATTGGAAGCCCTGGTTTCCAGATCATGTCAAGTATTGTCTTGTAGTTTTACTGACTGAAAGCATCACTACACATTAATTTTAGGTGGCTCTGGAGCTTTTAACCCCTGGATAGCCTGCACACTGATACCTTTAAGTGGCTTAAAGGACCTGTTATGTGGCTCAAGTTATGCCACTCCAGGGCAAGATTATCTCTTGATCCACATCCT